GGCTGGCACCTTAGCCACTTGAGCCACAGGTGCTGAGCCCTCGGCTGTTTTCTTGTTGCAGTTGTCATTGTTTAGCTGGCTCAGGCCAGGTTCAAACCCATCAGCCTCGGTGCATGTGGCTGGTGCCATAACCACCACACTACAGGCACCAAGCCTCAAATAGGGTTCTTAAGGCCAGTGGTGCTTCCAGTTTCCCCAACCCTCTATAGGACCTACACACAGTGGGGCTCATAGGTGCAAATACGGACAGAGGACATTCTTGGAAACTTCATTTCAGAAATAGAGGCTTTTGTTTTCCAGAAAACTGGCGAAAGTTTTCTTGGAGAGATAGATGGATGTAAAGAACATCATTGGGTCTGCTGTTAGCACAACATTGTCACTGACTGTACTATGACTTTTCTTTTTTTGGAGACAGAGTCTCACTTTGTTGCCCTCAACAGAGTGCAGTGGCTTCATAGCTCACAGTAACCTCAAACTCTGGGGCTCAAGCAGTTCTCTTGCCTCAATCTCCCAAATAGCTGGGACTGTAGGCTATTTTTAGAGATAGGGCTTACTCTTGCTCAGGCTGGTCTGGAACCTGTGATTGCAGGCGCTACACCTGCCTCGGCCTCCCATAGTGCTAGGATTATAGGCGTGACCCACCATGCCCAGCCTGTACCCTGACTCTCATCCAGGGAGAAGAAGCTGCTAGTGAGTTCAGAAGACTATGGCCGGGACCTGACTGGTGTTCAGAACCTGAGGAAGAAGCACAAGCGGCTGGAGGCAGAACTGGCTGCACATGAGCCAGCCATTCAGGTGGGGGGTGGTCTTCTGGCTGAGAAGACCACCAAGAGGACAAACATCCTTTATTCTTAATTCACTGACGTCCCTACAGTGTTAGTGACTTCTCAGCCCCAACCAGGAGCAGTTGTATGCTTAATGTCAGGGCTTTTTTTCTGGGAGCTCAGAGGCTGGGCACTGGCAGAGCTGCCTCTGTTAATCTGTCTTCCTTGCCTGACAGGGCGTCCTGGACACTGGGAAGAAGTTGTCTGACGATAACACCATTGGGAAGGAAGAGATTCAGCAGCGTCTGGCGCAGTTTGTGGAACACTGGAAAGAACTAAAGCAGCTGGCAGCCGCCCGGTGAGTGACCACAGACAAGAGCATGGTTGGGAGCTGTGTGGAGATGCTGGGCCCTCTCGCCAACTCCTAGACCTTTAGGCATGCACCTGCCATAGTGCATGGCTTGTTCCAAGGCCACCTGTGTGTAATTCCAGAATCTCATGTCTGAGGACATGGAAGGCTTGACTGACCATTGACAACCCACCCTCCTTGTGAATCTTTTTAAGCACATGTTAACTACCAGAATCAAAGTTGAAAGAGATGATGGCAATTTTTTTCCTGTCTCCTGTAATTAGGGGTCAGCGGTTAGAAGAGTCCTTGGAATATCAGCAGTTTGTAGCTAACGTAGAGGAGGAAGAAGCCTGGATCAATGAGAAAATGACTCTGGTGGCCAGTGAAGATTATGGAGACACTCTCGCTGCCATCCAGGTGAGAAAATAAAGGAGATGTCTTCCTTCTCTCTTAGCAAATTGTCGTCACTTTCTAGCTGTTTGTTAAATGGCTCTATTCTGACCAGGAGAGCACAGAGCCAACAACTAAGGTCTCAGTGATTTGTTTTAGACCTCAAAATATCAACCTCGGGATATCAACCTCGGGATGGTGCCCTCCACAGGTAGAATTGGCATGACTACGTCAGGCCCAGTTGTTAAGCCTCATTTTTAGTCTAGCAGTGTCATTGCTGTGGTACATTATATTAGTCGCCTATGGCTGCTGTAACAAAGTACCACAAACTGGGTGGCTTAAAACAACACGTATTGTCTTCCAATTCTAAAGACTAAATGTCCTAAATCAGGGTGTAGGGTGGACCATGCTTTCTAACAACTGCAGGGAAGAATCCTGGGCTTGTGGCAGCATCACGCCAGTCTCTGCCTGTCTTCACATTGCCTCTTCCCTCTGCATCTGTGTCTTCACTCAGAATTCTCCTCTGTGTGCATCTGTCCATATTTCCTTTTTTGTACAAGGACATCAGTCATATTGGTAATCTGAGATCCGTCCTAAAGAGCCCATCTTAGCTTAGCAGACTGCCTCTTCAGACTCTATTTCCACATTCACAGGTACCAGAAGTTAGGGGGCCTCAGCATACCTTTTGGTGGGATACAGTGCAACTCATAACTTCTTTCCTAAATTGGTCAACTGTTGCTGCACCACCCCCCCCTAAATTCAGTGGTTGAGAACAACACCCACTTGTGATTTCCCACACCTCTGTGGGTTGGCAGCATCTCCTCTGCTACTTTCACTTGAGGTCCCTTGTGCAGTTCCATTTTAAGTGGAACACAGCTGGGCTGAGAAATCCAAGGTGGCCTTGGCCACATGCTAGCAGCTGAGCCTGGCTGGGACGTCTCTGTTCCCCTCCAGGTGGCCTCATCTTTTAATGGCTAAACCAGCTTCCTTTAGCAGCATCCAGACAGGAACAGGCAGGAGCTACAGGGGGTCTGAGGGCCTTACACGTCATCTTCACTGCGTTCTGCTGGCCAGATTAAGTCCTCAGGCATCCCATAGTCACAGGGTGGCTGAACAGTTACCCATCTTGATAGGCAATGCTACAAAACACCATTATTAAATGTTCCTAAATTCCTGCCACCAGATGGGGAAGCAAAGTCTACGTTCCTAGTAATGGAGGTGGCCCCTGTGAACCATGTTCCTCATGGCCAGTCAGGGTGATTTGGGTGGAATTGACGAAGTCATTGATCTCCCTCCTCTGCACAATGAAGGTGTTGTCTCCACAGCTTCAGTTCTAACATGGAAAATAAAGATGGGCTCAAATTAAATCTTAAAATCACGCATCATTGGTTGGGTGGATGTTTGTCTTCCACTTTCTTTGTGTTCTTTCTTGTGGTCTTCTGGAGGGACGGGACACTGTGGATTGGGCACAGGCACACCGAAAGTCCTTTTCTGACTGTAGCTGCTTAAATTCTCACTGCCTCCTGGTTTTCCTAGCGTTGTTAATTATTTATTGATTGGTGTACCCTTTACTGTCCTGTTCCCCCAACCAGACTATAATGCGTGTTAGGGCAGGAACATGTTGCTTTTTTCACCCTCTGTCCCTCGGGCCTACCCATCACGCCTAGCAGGCTCTCAGGAGCTGGCCTTGCTATTTCTACTCCAGGGTTTACTCAAGAAACATGAAGCTTTCGAGACAGACTTCACCGTTCACAAGGACCGTGTGAATGATGTCTGCACTAATGGACAAGACCTCATTAAGAAGGTAAGCCTGGCCCCTGGTAAGATCCAGTCTGGATACCTCCATGCTGGCTCTCAGGTGGCCCACAGAGCTCACTCTTGGGATATTTACCCTTTGGTAGGGCAAATAGTCTGTGTGAAGACTGGTAACCATTCTGTTCCTCTGTTTCATGGAGAAAAGTCGATCATGTGACAGGCTGGATTTTTCCACTTTCTAAAGCCAGTTAGTAAAGTTACTCTGTGGTGCTTATTTTCTCTGCCTTAATTAAGCAGAGGAACATCCCTTTTGATCCTTCTGTGACACTGACACTCCCAAATGCTGCTCTTAGATTATTTCTCAAGCAATATAAGCACTTTTCAGAGATGGTAGAAAATACAAATAAGCAAAACATAAAATAAAAATCCCCCATAAAGCAACCACTTGGAGATGACCATATTAAGACGTTCATGTCTAATCTTCCAGACCTTTTCTTTCCTCTTACATAGCACCACCAATAGGATTACATCATCGCGTAAGTTATCAAAAACCTGGCTCCTGTATGGGATATTTTAGAAATGAGTCTGTTTTGTTCTAACAGCTCATTCTGGAGGAACCAAAAAAAAAGGGTTTTGGTGCTTTCACTGTAGCAGTGAAGCTTTGTCCTCACACATTGAAGTTCATGACAGAAGGTAGTATAGCCATCAGACTAGACTTCACTGCCGCC